GAAGCATGTGCAGAGAAAATCAAAGTATGAAAAGTTGCAATTGTTTGAGTAGGGCTGGCCGTGTCCTCCTTCTGTGCTGAAGTTCCCTTTTTGTTCCTCTTTGTACCGGCAGTTACTCAATCCTAGGTAGTTTGTTGGAGTAGTGGGACACCTCATCTTTTGACCTAGTCTAAACCCCTTTCAGATTTTGCCATCTGGATTTTATCAGATAAAATCTCCTTTTTAAATGTGATCCTCCCCTATCTTGCCAACTGCCATTATCTCTTTCTGTTTCAAAAGATAATTACTCAACATTATCTTTATCTCTCTTATCTTGCCAACTCACGTGCTGATCTGTCATGGGGCTCAAGATCCGAATCTGACATAGTTCAAAACTCCTCCAGCCAATAAAAATTTTACACGTAGCATTAATCTAAAATTTTACAATTTATGGTGTAAACAATGCCCCCAACACTTGGTTTTAGTAAGATAAATCCAAGTGTTTTAATTAAATAAATTGTCTCCCACACCATAATTACTTATGCCATATGTCGAATTCTCTTTAAAAACAACTTCACAAATATCTCATGGAGCAATTTTCTAGATAAACCCCAGCCATTCTTTTTTCAAAATTTATCTAATTCTCAAAACCCAAAAATAAAGAAAAGTCAAACTTACTTTTCTTTTCCTTTTGAATCATGGCCGGCTGTATTCTTCCTCTTTTCTTTGTTTTTTATTATTCCACCGTCAATGGCCCCATTGAAAAGTCTACTCCACTTTAAGTAAAATCTATTAATTTTACTTTACCTTCTTCAACCTCCACGGGCCACCATCACCGACTTTCCCCTTCCATTTACTTTGCTTTGCCGCCGGCTGCACTCTTCCTTTGCTTGTTTGTTCACCAAATAGCTTCCAAATCTCTACCCATCTTGCAACATCTAAGCTTCTCCCAGTCACAACCGGTCCCTCTGCTTCTTTTTTTTTATGCTTCCCTAGATCTACCCAAAACAGCAACCCACTTCTTCCAACTTCCAGATCTACTGCCGGTGGCTCCAGATTAATTACCACACACGGTGGTCCCCCCGGGAACTCCTCTTGCCCCACAGGTACTTGCCGGCTGTTCCTTTCACTTTATTTGCAAAGATTTACTTTGCTTGTGCCCCATGGACCCTACCGGGAATCCTCCTTGTGCGTGTGATTGTTGGCTGATTTTTTTTTTTATTTCTTGTGTGTGTAGATCAACTTGGCTTGTGGCCGGTACTCACTTCCAGGCAGCCTTTCCTTGCTCAAGTTGCTTCCATGGCCAGTGACCGAGAAGAGCAAACCATGCCCACCGGATCTGCTTCCATGGCCGGTTCAAAGGCCACTCCTTGCTTGAGGTCACCTCCACCAAATTTAATTGAAATCTTTCAAAACCGTAACCTTCAAGATGATATAAACAAGGTACTTTCATCCTCGGTTTCTTGATGTTATGGAAAATATTTCTGTTCTGGCCCCTCCACAACTCACCAAAAAATCCGAAGGGAGGAAAGTAGTGAAAGAGAATGAGGACCTGGAATCTGCCATGGCCGCCCAGATCAGCCAACCAAATCTGCCAAGGAGAGCTCCCAAACTTCAAGTCAAAAGGAAATTTGTTGCTCCTGCAGATTCCACGGAAGAAGATACCCCCTCCAAGCAGCGAAGAACCGGAGGTAAATCCGCTTTGGCTTGCAACTTTGTGACACGCTTTCTGTTAACACACACCCTTTTTTTTTTTTTAGGGATCAAGAGGTCAACGGTAAAACCATCTGCAGCCAAGAAACTTATCAAATCTGCCTCTCCCTCGAGGTCCTCTTCTGCCACGGAAACCGAGACACAACTTGACAAAACAGAAGATGTTTCCTTCGGACCTGCTGCCACAAAAGCTCCCGTTGAAGACATATCTGCTGAGGGGTGATGAAAGCAATTCTGGCTCCACTCATACCAAATCTGGCGATGGTTCTTCACCCGCCACAAAGGTTAGGGGTTCTAGATTCTCTTCACGCATAGCAAGCAAAAACTTTAGAACAGTTAGACTGAATGAACTCATCGATCTAAGCCTAGACAAAGAGAATACCCTTACACCTGTAGCTTCTCCTGCTAGGCATGTTGATGTTGATGACATTGAGGTTGTTTTACTGTTCTGAAATCTGCTTAGATCTTGAAATTTGTCACCATATCTGCCAGTTGCCATTTTTGATCTTTGTCTTTACGTTTTATAGAGTGATGCTGCCGACGTGCCCATGATTGATGATGATTTGGAAAATGAACTCCTTGCTCAACTGGACATGTTGATGGATACTCCGGCTAAATCTGGATCTGCCACAGATAAAGGGAAGGCAGTTGCTGAAGAAGTGGATTTTGATATCAACCTTCCTACTCAGGAGCAGATTAGTTTTGCGATCATGACCTTGCAGGAGCTCCTTGATGGTGGTCCCTCCCATTTCTGCAAGGTGCCAGACCAGCCAGCTGCCTTTGAAGCGGCTCAAATCCTTAGCCGAGCTCCACAGTTATCATCATCTCAACAAAAATTTTGGGCAGACTTCACCACCATCTACACCCATTTCAGCAGAAAATTCTGGGTGCTTGAAAGCAAAGTAGCGGCTGCAGATTCTGTCAGGAAGTCTGTAGCAGACAGCACTGCCACTGTTTTGAAGAAGAAAGAAGAATTCTTGGCAGCAAAGGAAGCTCATGTCATGCAAGTTACACATGTCCAAGGGCTCAAAGAAAAAATCTCTAACCTTGAAGCCGAGCTTTCGGAGTTGAGAAACCAAGTCCCTCTTGCGGAGCAATCTGAAAAGAGTTTGGCAGAACAAAGAAACAAGCTTCGCATGGACATGGAAGCTGGGTTGAAATTTACTGCCAAGATCAAGGAGCAGCTACCTTCCTTCACAGCCTCTGCAGACGAAGCCGTCGAAGAGATAAAGACCATGAAAGAGGAATGGAGTTCATGGCAAAACAACCTTAGTTGATTTTTCTCTTATGTATCTTCTTATCTCTTTGTTGGCTGGAATTGCACATTGTCATGTTTGAACTTATTGTTTGCGGCCTATTGGCCATGCGAACTTCTCTTCAATGTTGATTTCTTTTTTGGCTCATATTCTGGAAATCTGCTTGCTGTACTTTTGTTCATACTCTGGTACAGGTTGAAATCTGTCATGGCCGAAATCTGGCCATTGTGGTTGTTCACAGCCAGATTTGGCCTACTTACAGATTTGGCTCAACACTTTTATTGAATGATAAAATGCTTAAAACAATGAAATAAAATACTGTACAAATTCTACCTCAAATCTGTCTCAGGTAGAATCAATGGTATCCATACCTTTAGCCTCCCATATCATAGGATAGTAAGGCTTAAGGTAGATTCCATTTATTTTTCGAGGATGTAACTCTCCATTTAATGATTCAAGCCAATATGCTCCTCCTCTAAGCACTTCATGTATTCGAAATGGTCCTTCCCAATTTGGAGACCATTTCCCAAATCTGGGGTCTTTCTTTCCA